CTTACATTGGATGAGCATTCGTCCAGCGGCACGGGCACGGGCAACATAGACAGCGTGCTTGCGGGCAGTGATTATCTCTTGGACGTTATTTCGCGGAAGGTCGGCTTCTTCGGGGGTTAGTTGTCCAGTGGACTCAAAGTCAAAGTTCTTGAATTGGTAGGGGGGGTTGCGTTGGCGTCTCCATTGTCGAGTCTGCGTCTACCCGTCGCCTCTCTCGCTCCGAGAGTACACTGATTTCGGCCCCCGTATCGTAAAGGAAGTCAATCGACTTACCTTTCACGTGGGCCTTCACCCAAGGGTCTGGACTCTGTAGTAGCCCGCTGGAATTCTTCGTCGGAGGGTAGGGTCGGTAATTCCAGTTGCTTACTTCTTCCTACCGCGCCTACGCGCACGGCTATCTTATCCAGGATAGCGTCCGACTCGTCGTCCATGGCTGAGTACCTTGACAGCCAGTCCGCGATGTGATTCTGTTCACCTGAAAGGAACTTAATTGTGAAGTCATACTGGCTCAGGTGGAGGGCCCAGCGGAAGACCTTTCCTTTATCGACACCTGAGAGGTACCGGAGGTTGTTGTGAGGTGACCATCTTGGGATCAGGGGACCTGCCCAAGACCCCGCCGTTAGAAGTGAAGGTAGCCGGAAGGACGAGACCAGTAAGTTTCGTGGTGAGCCGAGAGGACAACATGCCTAACCTACTGTCGGCACCAGACATGAAGCGGTCGAGAAATGTAGAGAACGCGCAGCGGTAACGTGCGCAAGGCGCGGGTACACGGAGGCATTGAAGCTGTCCGAACCCAAATACCAGGAACAGCCGGCGGTGACAGAGGAAGCCGAGCCGCCGTACAGTAAGCAGAAGAGAGTGTTCGAGGAGAACACGGGCCACACGGAGCCAGAATTAAGGCAAGAATTGTGGACCCTCCTAGAGGGGTATCGGGATGCCTGGGAGCATCCGAAGGCCGCACAAGTGCGCTATGAGGCCAAGTTCGAGGTCACAGGGAAACCGCACAAGGCCAGGGTCAGGCATTACGAGCCGGAGATGCGACGCGAGCTGGAGAGCCAGGTAAAGAGGCGGCTGGAGCTTGGCGTCATAAGACCGCCCAAAAGCGACTGGGTGGCAGCACCACACTTCGTCAAGAAAAAGACTGGAGAGTGGAGGTGCGCACCAGACTACCGGAAACTGAACGAATCGATGGTATCCGACTCCCACCCACTGCCGAGGATCTGGGATCACCTGCGGAGGGCGGCAGGACGTAAATACTACGTAATGTTGGACATGAATTCGGGCTTCTGGAACGTGCCTATCGAGAAGGGGTGTAAGCACCTCACGGCGTTCATAACTCCGATAG